TGTCTGGCTGTATGCCACCCCCCCCCGCCTATGTCCGGTGTGCCATAATGTTTTTTTTTATTCATGTAAGTGTGCCCACGGGATGGAAAAGGTTGGGAAACACTGTCTGAAACAGTCAACGATCTAGCAGAGGGACTCTTAATTTGCTTGTATTGTATACCTAAAACAAGACGTTAATTCCTATTTAGAATACTACTACAATAGAAGTAATAGTGCTGAAAAGAAATCCACAAACCTCTATCATTTTCTTTAAAGTCCACAGGATGTTCCGTTTTGGTGACTGTGCTGACAATTTTGATATCTGGAAACAGAGTCACCCCTCTCTCACTTTCAAATTGTGTAGCTGGTCTAGCAAAGTGATCCATTCCACTTATTGTAATCTTGGGCTCATTAGCCTGAAACACCATGACATAGGCATCTATATCTGGGATACTAATGCAGACATCTTCACCAAAACATCTGAAAAATATATTATTCATTAACCACATGAACTATTTTTTTTTATATTACAGATATATGCTATACAGCAAGCTGATTTGGCTCCCTAACCCAGTTTTTTATGCACAATTCCACTATCCAGTGCCTGGCTGATGAATTTTTATACCCATCACCCCATCCTTATTTTAACTACCTTTGCACTCTGCTCAGTCCACAACATACTCTTCTCCAACAGAATATCTTTCTAAACTCACGCAGCCATCTGCATGTGTTAGTGGTGACAGTACTACCTCTGAGTTACTAATTTCACACATACACAAAAAGTTCATTACTCTTGAATAGTTCAACATACTGATGGCAAGTGCTATCTCTGATAGGGTAAGTATGTAGGTAGCATTTAGATGCTTAATCAGCATATAACAAAGCCATCAATAGTTAAAATTATTTAGACAGCAACTAATATTAGCAAACCTAAAATTAAGTAATCGGGTTGATAGTTAATGTTTATAATATGACTATCTTGTTACATGTGAATGAATAGCCTAACTATATAATTTAAACTGAATGAATCATTAACTGAGTGCTGCATATGTGCACCCCACAACTTCAGTTGAAGTCAATGGATGTTCAGGATCTACAACAAATGGAAGACTTGTCTTTTGCTATGCCAAAGTGAAAATGTTATTGTTTTATTATAACAGTGGAATGATACCAGTGGGATACCAGTGGGATGCATTCATTTTTATTTAGTCCACAAGGTTCCAATGCTACTGTGACAGCGGCAAGCAGAAAGAATGTGTCTAGCATTAGGGATACTGTCACTCTTGATGGATATTGTGTTAATTATAATAGGCCTGGTTAAAAGTCATAGCTCTAGCTATGCCAGAAGACACTTTAATTGGTGAAAAAGGAATAAGGATTATATTTACATTCAGCTGCTATATAATAAACACATTCAGTCTTCAAAGTAGACTGAATGCTTTAGGCTCCATATTGTACACAGCTAAATTACCTTTACAAGAACAGTAGTATGAAAGCAAAGTATCATAAAAAAACCTCAAATTAATTCAGCATAAAAGTAAATGTCCATAATTTAATTGTATAATGTATCTATATCTATGAATCAAAATTCAGTTTTTATATTTCCAAAGGAAAACAGTAATTCATTTAATAAATATTAGTGATATAATCAGCTTAATTTAATACAACTTACTGGACTTTAGAAGAGACTTTAAGACGCCGTACACCTGCAGTAGGGAACTGTCTAGAGTTGATATATGAGACCTTTTGGAGAGCTTGATTTATATTCTCAATATCATCTCCCTCCATGACAAGGACTGACTGGGAAGGGTTGAAGTGGTACTGGGAAAATGCACATAATTAATACATCAGGAAACAGGTGCAGAGTAAAGAATAGCACCTTGCTAGGGAACTCCTCAAAGAGACTCATTAGAATTATAACAATTTAAAAAAAAATCTAGTTAGTAGCTATTGTTAGTTAGGTATACACATATTGCTTTTAGGAATAAGTACCAGCCAAATACTCTTCAATCACCCATCTTAATAGTTACTGCTATAATTAACTATATAGTAAATTAGAAGCCAGGCAAAGAATTTGAATCTAGATTATTTACCTAGTTGCTCATATTACTGCAACTTTGTATTTCATAAATGCAATTTACCATCATCATCACCATTATTATTATTACTGCAAAATATTCTAGGTCAAATTTACTCATGGCAGACAATCGTTAACTTCAGAGTTATGCCATGAGGGTGTTTGTCCTGCTTTTTTAAAAATTCTTTGTGTGTTTTTATTTCAGGTAACTTTTGAGACATTTTTCATTGTAAATGAACCAAGCTTTCCCAAGCTTTATAAAAAACAAGCTTTTTATAAACTTTTCCTTCCACAGCCCCATCAATGTCTATCACAATCACAATCAAAAGGATTCTCCCCATCCTGTCTTATGACCATAGGAAATACCACTA